CTGCTTCTCTCCTTTTCTTTTTTTTTAATTATTATATTTTTTGCACAAAGTTCTCATTTTTGCAGCATTTCCCCCTGTGTTTTTGCACATGCACATTCCCCACCTGGCCAGCCATGCAGGCTACGACCCACAGGAGCTGTGGCTGCCAAAGAATGTGTTTATTTTCCATGGAAACTTTTGAAATATTTTAAAGAGAAGTAGCATGTTTGTAGGTTTATTGAGTGTTCTTTCTTGCTTCAAGCAGCAAACACACCCTGAATAACTCCAGTTCCACCTGTAAGGAAAAATTCACTCACTACCCAAAGCAGTGTTTTGCCTGTAACCCAGTATTTCCTTCTCAAACTGGGATAGATACACAAATCCCCTGGCAGGCACTGGGTACCTTTGTGGGCATCAGCACCTGCTGGCACTTGGGGAAACTGAGGCAGGGGCAGCTCAGCACTCCCTGTTCCCTCCATAAAGCCACAGCTGGAGGGAAAGTTTGGTCTTCCCTTTGGTCTTTCCTGCCATAGAAACCCAGAGTGGTTTGGGCTGGAAAGGACTTTAAAGACCTTCTCATCCCACCCCCTGCCGTGGGCAGGGACACCTTCCACTAGCCCAGGTTGCTCCGAGCCCTGTCCAACCTGGCCTTGGACACTCCCGAGGATGGGCAGACACAGCTTTTCTGGGCAACCTGTGCCAGGGCCTCCCCACCCTCACAGCCAACAATTCCTTCCCAATATCCCATCTATCCCTGCCCACTAGCAGTGGGAAGCCATTCCCTGGGTCCTGTCCCTCCATCCCTTGTCCCAAGTCCCTCTCCAGCTCTCCTGGAGCCTCTTTAGGCACTAGAAACTTTGAGGTTTCCCTGGAAAATTCTCCTCTCCGGGAGAGTGAACCGCCCTAAAATCCCTTCTGTCCAAACCCGGGACGGGGGGGGGGAGTGGGAGGGAGGAACCAGCAGAAAAACCCGTGGGCGCCGGGATCGGGAGCTGGGAAGGTAGCCAGCAGGAAAGGGGAAGCGAAAGGGGACGGCGGAGGGGCGAGGACCCGCTTTCCCGGGGGATGCTGAGCCCCGCCGGGATGCGGGAGGGAACGGGCCAGCCCCGCCCCGCCCCACGCGCGCTCCCGCGGCACTACAGCTCCCGGGGAACCCCGCGCGCGCGTCACCGGCCGCGACAGCGACAGCGACAGCCCCGACACAGCCCCGACACAGCCCCGGG